TCCCTCAGGAAGGGGTGTCATCAAACGATGATCTGCTGGACTCACAGGGCCTCCTTAGGATTGGGATGAATCAACCGGGTACAGATATTGGTGAATAAATCTTCATTGGTGTTCTGTGGCATAGACAAAATCGGGGCCCCCCTAGCGTGGTGGTGATTTGGTCAAGTCTCTGCTACACCATTGGACAGCATCTGGTCGGTTTTGACCAATATCACCAATATCTGTACCCGGTTGATTCATCCCGATCCTAAGGAGGCCCTGTGAGTCCAGCAGATCATCGTTTGATGACACCCCTTCCTGAGGGAGAAAGACATCTGCGGATATCTGTGATATTTATTAGTACTGACACTCTGCTGCATATGAGAGTCATCATGCGTTTGTACCACCTCAGCAACCTGGGAATGGGGTCGGGTACGCCTGATCTTAGCAGGGACCTCTTCTTCGTCATCTGAGCTATATACTGTATGTCAGTGTGCCACTGCTGTCTACAGGTTCGTATTCTGAGCCTGATTCTGTCAGGGAGTCTACCTTCCCTTCGCTCTCACCTGACATGCTCAGAATCCTATAGGCCTCTTCACTAGTGTACCTTTGGTTGGACATTTTGGCCACTAAATTTACAGGTACCTTGTGCGACTCACAGGAAAAAAGAGCGCCTGGCTGTCACGGACTGCTTGAACCGCTACAAAAAATTTACCGACAAGTGCTAACAGAGATCAGGCCTGATTCTGTGAACACTGCGGTTTTGTGTGTAATGTATCAAGTGACAGTTATCTACTGACACTGCACTTGGGGGGGGGGGGGGGGGGAGGACGGGCATAGGGGCTAAACGCAGGTGCTGGCAGGTGTCGGGGCGGATCCCACAAACACTGCGTTTTTGGGGATACTATAGTAATGTGAACGCTGGTATAGTGCTGATCGGATCAATGATATTGATCCAATCAGCCACTATACTAGCAGTGGAGGTTTAGCGTGCAAGTGAGCATGTTCCTGGCAATCAAGGGGTCAAATGTGATTACTTGTGTACTAGCGGCAATCTGACGCTATCTGGGAGGGGCGCTAACACTGTTGGAAGTCACCAGGGACACTGATACAGTGATCAGTAAAAATCTGTTCACTGATCAATGACACTGGTGACAGGACAGTGAAGGGGTTAACTGGGGGGTCGATCAAAGGGTTAAACGGGATTACTGTTGTATTAGTGGGCAAACTGGCGCTATCTAGGAGGGGCACTAACACTATTGGAAGTCGCCAGGGACACTGATACAGTGATCAGTAAAAAAATCTGTTCACTAAAATCAATGACACTGGTGACAGGGCAGTGAAGGCGTTAACTGGGGGGTGGCGATCAAGGGGTTAAATGGGATTACTGGTGTACTAGCGGGCAAACTGGAGCTATCTGAGAGGGGCGCTAACACTGTTGGAAGTCGCCAGGGACACTGATACAGTGATCAGTAAAAATCTGTTCACTGATCAATGACACTGGTGACAGGACAGTGAAGGGGTTAACTGGGGGGTCGATCAAAGGGTTTTTTAAACGGGATTACTGTTGAATTAGTGGGCAAACTGGCGCGCTATCTGGGAGGGGCGCTAACACTATTGGAAGTCGCCAGGGACACTGATACAGTGATCAGTAAAAATCTGTTCACTAAAATCAATGACACTGGTGACAGGGCAGTGAAGGCGTTAACTAGGGGGGTGGCGATCAAGGGGTTAAATGGGATTACTGGTGTACTAGCGGGCAAACTGGAGCTATCTGAGAGGGGCGCTAACACTGTTGGAAGTCGCCAGGGACACTGATACAGTGATCAGTAAAAATCTGTTCACTGATCAATGACACTGGTGACAGGACAGTGAAGGGGTTAACTGGGGGTGGCGATCAAGGGGTTAAATGGGATTACTGGTGTACTAGCGGGCAAACTGGAGCTATCTGAGAGGGGCGCTAACACTGTTGGAAGTCGCCAGGGACACTGATACAGTGATCAGTAAAAAATCTGTTCACTGATCAATGACACTGGTGACAGGACAGTGAAGGGGTTAACTGGGGGGTCGATCAAAGGGTTTTAAACGGGATTACTGTTGAATTAGTGGGCAAACTGGCGCTATCTGGGAGGGGCGCTAACACTATTGGAAGTCACCAGGGACACTGATACAGTGATCAGTAAAAATCTGTTCACTGATCAATGACACTGGTGACAGGACAGTGAAGGGGTTAACTGGGGGTGGCGATCAAGGGGTTAAATGGGATTACTGGTGTACTAGCGGGCAAACTGGAGCTATCTGAGAGGGGCGCTAACACTGTTGGAAGTCGCCAGGGACACTGATACAGTGATCAGTAAAAATCTGTTCACTGATCAATGACACTGGTGACAGGACAGTGAAGGGGTTAACTGGGGGGTCGATCAAAGGGTTTAAACGGGATTACTGTTGAATTAGTGGGCAAACTGGCGCTATCTGGGAGGGGCGCTAACACTATTGGAAGTCGCCAGGGACACTGATACAGTGATCAGTAAAAATCTGTTCACTAAAATCAATGACACTGGTGACAGGGCAGTGAAGGCGTTAACTGGGGGGTGGCGATCAAGGGTGTTTATAAATGGGATTACTGGTGTACTAGCGGGCAAACTGGAGCTATCTGAGAGGGGCGCTAACACTGTTGGAAGTCGCCAGGGACACTGATACAGTGATCAGTAAAAATCTGTTCACTGATCAATGACACTGGTGACAGGACAGTGAAGGGGTTAACTGGGGGGTCGATCAAGGGGTTAAAACGGGATTACTGATGTACTAGTGGGCAAACTGGCGCTATCTGGGAGGGGCGCTAACACTATTGGAAGTCACCAGGGACACTGATACAGTGATCAGTAAAAATCTGTTCACTGATCAATGACACTGGTGAGAGGGCAGTGAAGGGGTTAACTGGGGGGGGCAATCAAGGGGTTAAACAGGATTACTGGTGTACTAGCGGGCAAACTGGCGCTATCTGGGAGGGGCGCTAACACTACTGGAAGTCGCCAGCGACACTGATACAGTGATCAGTAAAAATCTGTTTACTGATCAATGACACAGGTGACAGGGCAGTGAAGGGGTTAACTGGGGGGGGGGGGGGCGATCAAGGGGTTAAATGGGATTACTGGTGTACTAGCGGGTAATCTGGCGCTATCTGAGAGGGGCACTAACACAATTAGAAGTCGCCAGCGACACTGATACAGTGATCAGTAAAAATCTGTTCACTGATCAATGACACTGGTGACAGGGCAGTGAAGGGGTTAACTGGGGGGGGGGCGATCAGGGGGCTAAATGTGTCCTGGGTGTGTTCTAACTGAATGTGTAGTGCTTTTGTACTCACAGTTCTTCTGTCTTCTTCTCTCTCTGGGACGAATGTGCCCAGGCAGAGAAGAATGACATCATATCCTGTCCTGTGTAACTGTCAACACAGGACAGGATAGGACAGGGACTGATCATCCGATTTCAGCCAGACATCACTGGCTGAAACTGAATGATTGATCCCTCGGTTATCAAATCGTGACAACCGCGTTTTGGCGGGAGCGCGCGCTCACGCCCCCTGCCCGCGAAAACCTCGGGAGCACGGAGCACGTTTAAAAACGTGCTTTTGCGCAGCCGTGCCGCCCTGCAAACATTTTTATGCAGTGGTTGGGCGGCAAGTGGTTAAGTACTGATTCTTTCAGATGCAGGAAAGAACAAAAAAGAAACCATTGTGCAAATACAGGTAAATGAGCAATATGAACTGTACCCCTGAAATGAATTAAGTTTATTTTACCATGTGCATAGCTGGTAACTTGCTGGAAATGACCTGGAATACTGGAATTCAGATCCAGTTGCTAGGTTTTTATCAGATTCCTTACATCTCTGGAATCCCTTTGCTTTTTGTTAATAAACAAAGAGAAAAGTGCCTGACATCATTTAGTGCACACTGTGTCCTGCAAGTACCAGCTGTCAGTGGAGGATTAGGAGATGAGAGGGAGAGGACCAGGAGGAGAAGCTGTGCCAACTGCATGAAGGATGGAGGGAGAGGAGGAGCTTTATCTGCCACATGGAGGAAGAGTGGAAGGGGAGCAACCTAGAGGAAGTGGGGGGGTGAGCATCGGGCTATCGCAGGAGCAGGGACATGGGGAGCTAAAGATGCCAGCACAAAGGTAAGTTTTTGAAGTATGTACTGTATGTTGTATACAGGGCATAAGTATGTTATATTTATTTATTGCAGGTGCCTGTCAGTTTACACAACACTTTACATATATATATATTATATATCTAAGGTCCCTAACTCACATGCATACATTTACATACTAGGGCCAATTTGGATAGCAGCCCAGTAACCTACCAGCATGTCTTTGGAAACTGAAGTACCTGGAGGAAACCAATGCAGCCATAGGGAGAACAAACTCCAAGCAGATGGTGACGTGGTTGGGATGCGAACCAGCGACCCTAGCGCTGCCTGGCCGAATTTCAAACCATTTAGCCACTGTGCTGCTATGTACTTTATATGCACATGACCTCAGAACTCTGTACATGACCTGCCCCAGAATTGTACATTATATACATTTCATACTTCTGACATCTGCACTCTGTATACAGGCTCATGTTTCAAGCCCCTCCCACTGCTAGTACACTTTTGCCACACCCATCTTTCACCAACTTTTACTCAACCTGGTGTGCCAGAGGTGCTGAGGTTTTTATAAGAGTCGAGGAGCAGAACAAAGAAATCAAACTACCAAGCGGCTCTTTCAGGGGTATTGCTTCACGTGGGGTTTCTCATCTGGGATATCACTGTTCTCCAATTGAGGCCAATAAAGACTATGTACTTTTACTGGTGATCTCGGGCCCTCCATATGAGAATATCTAACCCCCCTCAAAAAAATGAATTGCAGGTGTTTTCTGTGCTTGCTGGTGCAGCTACCATGTCTAATTCTCCTTCTCTCTGGCTACATTCTTGTAGCCATTGAGAAATTCTGTGTGAGCTGTGATTAGTCACAGCTTATCACATGGTACAAGGCTGTTGTGAATAGCCTTGTACCATGTGATCTCTGCGATCATTCACAGATTTCACATGTAGTAAGCAATGATGTCAGAAGTGACATCTTGCTTACACCTATTCATGTGATCATTGATAGGCCAATCAGTGATCACATGATCGGGACCTCACACAGAGGTCCTGTTCAGCAATCGGTGCTCCCAGGGAGTGCGCATAGCCCAAAATGGCGGGTGCCACCGTCCGGCCATTTATATACAATGGCCGGAAGGGACGTGGTTAATAACTAAGGATCTGAGGAAGAGGACCTGGAAATGCATCAGCATGTAGGTTGGAGTGATGACTAGATCTCCATGACACATTCCCATATCTCAACCTTCTTGTCACTTAGGTTTTGATTTGTTCAATACTTTTTGCTTTTGGGAATTTTGTGAGTATGTTTTTTGGAATGCTTTGATTTTATAATATTTCTTATCAGATAATGCAATATGCCTTTGCACCCTCTTTTTTTGTTTTTATTTTTCTACAAACTCAAGGTGCTTTGAGTGCATCAAGAGAACTTTTGGAAGCTTGTCAAATGTTTTGTAAATGCTTGCTGTACATACAGCTTTTCAAACTAGCCTTTGCAGGCTAGTGTGCCTGTGTGAACTGAACCGTAATATCCAAGTCTGTAGGAGAAAATTGTTTTAGAGTTCAAAACTCTCACCGGGGCTGCATAACTAATTATTCTGTAAAGTTATGTCAAGATTGAATTGACTACTAGATTGTAAAGTAATCTCATCTATTGCACATCCATATTTTTTTGCATTCCTTTTGTATTTCACATGAAAACTAGTATGTTATTATGTAAATTACACACTGAAAATTCTGTAGTAATAAATTATCACTTGTTATATTGTCTTATTTTTATAATATATGTAGGTACTCTATATCTTAAGTGCTGCATGGAAATACATATCAACTAAATAGAGTTTGAGCTCACTTTTTTAAACAATTCATGTTTACACTATGAGTATGTAGAGACTGTGCAAAACCTTCATAGACAATGAAATTTGCTTTGTGTAGAAAGTGGTCAATATTCGTTATTTTATTTATTTTTATTACAGGTACTTATATAGCACCATCAATTTATGCAGCACTTTACATATGGTTTATATTGTACATTCACATCAGTCCCTAACTCTCAAGGAGTGTACAATCTAAGGTCCCTAAGTCACATTCATTCATAGACATACCAGGACCAATTTAGACAGGAGCCAATTAACCTACCAGCATGTCTTTGGAGTGTGGGAGGAAACTGGAGTACCTGAAGGAAACCCATACAGGCACAGGAAATACATGCAAACTCCAGGCAGGTAGTGCGGTGGTTGGGATTCAAACTGAGGACCCTAGTGCTGCTGCTGAGAGTACTAACCACTTAGCCACCCTACTGCTTCATAGAGCATTTTTCATTCATAGAAGTGATATACCATACCTCCCAACTTTGAACTTAACAAAGAGGGACAATTTGCAAAGGTAGAAGCATGTGGCAATGGAAAAATGGGTGTGGCCAGTGGAAACTGGGCATGATCTAATGGGTGTGGTTTGAAAATATACTGGCAAAACCAAAAGCTCTTACAGAGATTGCAGTCAAAAACAAAACACTGCAAAATACACTTGGCATAAAATATTTAGAAAGCATATTTACTGAGCATACTCACTGTGTACACAGCGCACATCTTCCACAGTCCTTTTACCCATGAAATAGGCTTTAATGACTGTGGAACAATGGAGAGTCTGACAGCCACAAACAGACACCACCACACTCATTTTAAAAAAGTTAACTGTTATTACATATGCTTTTCTTCAAGAGAGCCTACTTTAAAGAAGAACATCAGGGGTTTATAATGTACTTAGAGTGCACTGGTATGGCATATGTCATATAAAGCCCCTCGTACAAAGTACATTGGTCAGAAGCATGAAATGTACAACACAGTGTCTTCTTAGCAGGATCCAGGAGTGTGTATTGCACAGTGTGCAGGGGTCAGGAGTGCGCAACCTACAGAGCATAGAGCTCAGGAGTGCTTATGTATTTAATCAGAAACCATAATTATTGATTGTGGGAGAAAAAGGTTGCAGGTTTCCTTTAATAATTTCTCAAATATTTTCTTCTTTATTTGTGTATGTTTTCCAAGTGCCTTTTCAAGCCAAATGTGCTTTTGTATATTTCTGTTTTATTTATATAGCAAATACACTATTCCTTCTCAGTCGTGTGAAAAGGAGAAGCCACATGCGCGCAATTTATTTATTACAGAACATAAGAAACAAGCATACAAGTCACACTATTCTTGATGTTCTAAACAGGAGGTGACCTAAACTTTTTTTTCATTCTTGAACAACATTCAAATATAGCAAGTGGTAGTGAGTTAAAATAGTATCAAAATAAAATGCCAATAAGAAACACTATAAAAATGAATACATTCAAGTAGTACAAGATCTAGTAGTCATCTTATATTGTCATTATATTTTGTTTTCTTTCTAAGTTACCCTGTTTTCTTTCTGAGGTATGCCTTAGAGCTGCACCTAATGTTTTGTTTACTATTGATAAAAGTGGTTTCCTTTGCACTCACTGATTGTTGCAGCAGCCATCTGCTACATTTATTTTCAATATCTTTCCCTCACTGCCCATCTGCTTAATGCCACACTCTCTGCTTATCACTCATTTACTTTAGCTGTCTAGAAGTACTGTATATTCAGTAGATTCCATCTGCTCTGTACTCAGTACTCATAACCAAGGGATCTCTCTATTACCCCACCTGATTTATCGAGTTTACAGTGTCCATCTGTCCATCTGCATTTCTGGTAAAATCCATATGGGATCCGGAGCAGTCACTTTCAACTATCTTCCTTAAATTGCTAAGCACCCAGACATTGTGTATAATCAGCTAAAACTTTAATAATGTAAAATACAAAATGTTACACCTACATAAAACAATCCAACATTATGAGACTGAAACAAAGGCAAAAACTTATACTAAGTGTTGAAACACTGAAAGATAATATACATATATGGAAGAACAGAATAACTTTCACAAAACAATCTGTGCTAATCCTTCCTAAAGATGTAAAACATATTTCAAGGTATGAGACCCATTTCTCAAGTCAAATTACATAACCTCCATGTCCATAGCTTAGCAGCCAGCAGTAATCGTATGAAAAAATCCCCAACAGATTGGTTGTACTTAAGTCAATCGATAGATCGCTTTCAATACAACCAACCTGCCCACAGATGGATCAAAATTCAGCCAGTTCAGCAGAAACACATTTCGATCCATCTTTGGGTAGCTTTAGTCTTCCACACATTTTCTTTTGAAACTGATTGCTTGCTTGCTTGCTTGCTTGAAGCCTAATTCCAGCCACATTTTTTGGAAAGAGTTAAAATGTATCTCAGCTTATAATTCCTGCCTGTGACCTTGTTGAGAAGATTTCCCCATACTTCCTGTCTGTGACAGCAGGACAAGAGATAAGGGGAGCAGTTGTCACAAGAACAGGAAGGCACAGACAGCAATAGAATATAAGAAAGAATATAAGAAAAAACTTTAATACTCTGCATTTTATTCAATCTGATATGCTTTCAGAAAATTATCAATGTAGCAGTTTCTGAGCACTGAAACTTATTTATGGTTGACTGTAATCAATTGATCTGCACATATAAAACTTATTAAAAAACCCTTTCCTTTTATTTTAATGAGCACTGGAGGGGCAGAGCAAAGAGCCAGAGACTGACTGTCATGGCTCTCTGCTCAGAGTGGAGGGAAGAACTGAGTGATCAGCAGTGTTTGATCACTCAGTTCTCAGTGTAGAGCCAGTGGGGGGACAGATGCAGCATCAAACTAGGTGAGTTTAATGTTTTTTTATGCCCATAATTCTCTTTTAATATCCATATTATTAGTAAAAAGCTGAGGTCAGAACTAGAGATGAGCAAATCGAACTTGGCGAAGTGGAATTCGTTTCGAATATTAGGAAAAATTCGATTCGCACCGAATCCGAATTTTAGCAAACTTCGGATGCACGAATCGAATTTTTCCCCGATCAGCCGGCAAAAAGTGTCACTGCAGAGAGCTCCGCTATTTCTGACAGTTCTCTGACAGTTCCTTCACATTTACAGCGGTTGAAACATTGTATCTATTTGTTTCCATTTAGGATACAGATGTTTTTATTCGGAAATAAATAGATACAATGTTTCAACCGCTGTAAATGTGAAGGAACTGTCAGAGAACTGTCAGAAATAGCGGAGCTCTCTGCAGATACACTTTTTGCTGTACTGGAATTCTTCTTCTTTTCATTCTTCTTCTTCTTCTTCTTTTCATTCTTCTTCTTTTCATTCTTCTTCTTTTCATTCTTCTTCTTCTTCTTTTCATTCTTCTTCTCATTCTTCTTCTTCTTTTCATCCTTCTTTTCATCCTTCTTTTCATCCTTCTTTTCATCCTTCTTTTCATTCTTCTTCTTCTTCTTTTCATTCTTCTTCTTTTCATTCTTCTTCTTCTTATTTTCATTCTTCTTTTCATTCTTCTTCTTCTTCTTTTCATTCTTCTTCTTTCATTCTTCTTCTTCTTTTCATTCTTCTTTTCATTCTTCTTCTCATTCTTCTTCTTTTCATTCTTCTCATTCTTCTTTTCATTCTTTTCATTCTTTTCATTCTTCTTCTCATTCTTCTTCTCATTCTTCTTCTCATTCTTCTTCTCATTCTTTTCATTCTTCTTCTTCTTCTTTTCATTCTTCTTCTTCTTTTCATTCTTCTTTTCATTCTTCTTCTTCTTCTTTTCATTCTTCTTCTTCTTCTTTTCATTCTTCTTCTTCTTCTTCTTCTTCTTCGTCGTGCCCCGTGACTGCCCAAATGAGTGAAGTGTGCGGTGATTCTAAGATCGACGGCACTCATCTGCATGTCATACTGACTGACAGTATTATTTCTCTTCCCCAGCAGACTCCAAGGGCATTTAAATTAAAGGTACAGTGTTCTGCACTAATATAAAGGCTCTCTGAAGCCTAGAAACCCTTTTAATAAGTTAAATTCGCAGCGAATAAATTCGCATCGAATCGAATTTCTCCCGCAAATTCGGCGAATCAGCCGAATCAAATTTTTGAATAATTCGCTCATCTCTAGTCAGAACATATTGGCCCCATAAAGGATAATCAAAGGAAGTTGGTTAAAAGTGACAGAGAAGGCAATTGTATTAAATACGTTCTTATCTTCAGT